TCAGTAACGCTAATCAGACCATCGAATGACTATTTTAAATATACAGTAAGGAAGCCTTACGATTTCTTTTGATAAAAAGAATATAAAAAGACCAAAGTAGAAGTTAACTTTTATTTCTTTAAAGACAATAGAAACCCAAAGTCTATTTTATAGCAATGGTATAATTATAAAAACTACTTTACAAATAAAAGTAAAATAAAAATTAAATTAAGAAAACATTTCCCGAATTCTTGTTTTCCAGTGTTAAACTAGTGTATAACCCTTATCTGTACTTAACGTAACAAAAACAGGAGAGAGGAATTTTAGTTATTTATTTTAAATATATGAATGTACTTACAATCGACCGTATTTTAATGGGTTAAAACGAAAGGCTTATATACTTACAGCGGTCTTCATTACAGTTTTGATGCAACAAGTCTTCTACTAAAAAAGTTTATTTTCCAGTTTTTATATGTCTCAAAAGATTAAAAAGCTATTTCTTCGTTATAAACTAATCATTCCTTCGTACTGATAAATAGTTTTTATGTAAACTGAAAATTGGTTCTTATTCATTTTTCTCTCGTAGCTGTATGGTCAAAATAGTAATCTTAATTTTCAAATGTTATCTATTGGTTTTAAAATTGTTTTATGTTTATTGTCTCAACTGGAAGGCTAATGATAAACAAAAACTGGTTTTGCTTTTCTTAATAAAAATGTTTCACGTTTTAGAATAAAACCATAGACTGTGTTTCTTTTACCAAGAATTGGTCCTGATTTTAGGATGATCGTGAGTTGTCTTTGTAGTTAAATTAGCTTCGCTTTTCAAAATTAGGCATACATTATAGTTTTAACTATGAAATAATCACTATAAATACCGATTTAGTTTTGTAAAAAGGTAGCTCACAAGACTGGAACTATTATCGACGGACCATCTGGTACCATTAAAACCTCTGGTTCTGCCCATGGACTTATTGCTACTATTCATTAATAAACTAGAATAAAATAAATCTTTGCTAATTTTCGAATAATTTAGTTTTATTATTTATTAGATATAATATCCTTTGGGATAAAGTACTCCACACGTAAAATAATTCCCCATTGGGAAGTCTCTTTTATGCTCACGAACAGTTAATTTAGAAATAAAAGATTGTTAAAGATGTATGTCTAAAGCGTAGCGGCATACGGGTGCGAAACATGGACGGTGGGCGCGACGGAAAAGAAAAGGTTAGAAGCGTTCAAAATGTGGTGTTACAGGCGAATGATGATAATACCGTGGTTAGAAAAAGTTAGAAATGAGGACTACTTGAAAGTTATTAAAAATCGGTTGTCTGTAAGGTCGGTTTACTGACGATAGTTGAACGTGACAACGTCATAAGAAAATACTGATGGAATGGTTTCATTTTTCAAAAATTTTAATTTTATTTGTTTGATAGATATTTTGTATGGATATAGAGAAGGAGGTAAATGGAAATGTATTATTGTATAGCAGCTGTCCACGCGGACGCATCGCTCACTCAAGTAGGAGAGAGACAGATGTCGAACGCTGCCGAACGCGGAG